AGAGATACAGGAGGACATTGGTTTACACAACACACTGATAAACACACATATAGGCCACACAGACTGTATATACAGTACATACATTTACATTACATTTACGTCATTTAGCAGACGCTCTTATCCAGAGCCTGTGTCTACACCCACAGACACAGGAACAGACACACACACACACACACACACACACCTAAAAGTACAGCTACACTACACACAATGTCCCCCTCGTGCACAACCAAACTATGTACACACTCCCTGGTCAACAGCATGAGCATGTGTGACGGGAACTAGAGGTAAAGATTGGAGGAGATGTTAAGCCAGGCCACAGTCCAGGTAATGATTGGAGGAGATGTTAAGCCAGGCCACAGTCCAGGTAATGATTGGATGAGATGTTAAGCCAGGCCACAGTCCAGGTAATGATTGGGGGAGATGTTAAGCAAGGCCACAGTCCAGGTAATAATTGGAGGAGATGTTAAGCCAGGCCACAGTCCAGGTAATGATTGGAGGAGATGTTAAGCAAGGCCAAAGTCCAGGTAATGATTGGAGGAGATGTTAAGCCAGGCCACAGTCCAGGTAATGATTGGATGAGATGTTAAGCTAGGCCACAGTCCAGGTAATGATTGGATGAGATGTTAAGCTAGGCCACAGTCCAGGTAATGATTGGATGAGATGTTAAGATAGGCCACAGTCCAGGTAATGATTGGAGGAGATGTTAAGCCAGGCCACAGTCCAGGTAATGATTGGATGAGATGTTAAGCCAGGCCACAGTCCAGGTAATGATTGAGGGAGATGTTAAGCCAGGCCACAGTCCAGGTAATGATTGGAGGAGATGTTAAGCCAGGCCACAGTCCAGGTAATGATTGGAGGAGATGTTAAGCAAGGCCAAAGTCCAGGTAATGATTGGAGGAGATGTTAAGCTAGGCCACAGTCCAGGTAATGATTGGATGAGATGTTAAGCTAGGCCACAGTCCAGGTAATGATTGGATGAGATGTTAAGCTAGGCCACAGACCAGGTAATGATTGGAGGAGATGTTAAGCCAGGCCACAGTCCAGGTAATGATTGGAGGAGATGTTAAGATAGGCCACAGTCCAGGTAATGATTGGAGGATATGTTAAGATAGGCCACAGTCCAAATACCAGCAAAAGACCCAAATTAAGTATTTTGTATTTCATTGAACCTTTATTTTGATAGGGAGTTATGCTGAGACCAATGTCTCTTTTAGAGATGAGCCCTGTTCACACATAAAAACACATCAATATACACTATACGGAAGTCAACACACAAGCATAGAAAACAAACCCATTCTTCAGTAAAAAGGTCCTCAATCAGCCTTTCGAAATTCGAATTGCCCTAGATGCACCAATTGTTGAAAACTAAAAGCAGATTTACCCAACACAGTGGCGATCGAAGGGAGCTCCAGAGTTAGCCATCCCTGAGATTGGGTCTGGTAGCTCGTACGTCTGTAAGTTAACAATGAAATAAGGTACGGTGGAAGTCTTCTCCAAACAATCTGCATCATTACCATAATAGTCCGAGTAATAATAATAATAATATGCCATTTAGCAGACGCTTTTATCCAAAGCGACTTACAGTCATGCGTGCATACATTTTTTTTGTGTATGGGTGGTCCCGGGGATCGAACCCACTACCTTGGCGTTACAAGCGCCGTGCTCTACCAGCTGAGCTACAGAGGACCAACGTATACACTGTGGCTTTGGAGGGGAACAGCAGCACTGTAAGCATCAGTGTACAAGACCTCATCAGGCCAGACAAGTAGTAGTAGTGAATTACACGTATTTACAGTATCTAACAGATAGTAGAAATATGTTGTATCTACTTTACTAGAAGACAAGGGTGGAATTGGGGGGGGGGGGGAGGACGTGTAGGAACCTGTACAGAAATCTTTGAGCTGAATGACAAATGATCCGACTTCAGTTCTATACTAGTTCTCAGCATGATGTTCTTTTTCGATTTCTGGTAAACCATGGGACAAAAAAACATCAAAATGAACCGTTTTTTTTTGCAATGTAGAGGTCTGGTATTACGTGGTATTATTCACACCCAGAGAAGGGTATGTTATCTACAGAATGGTGTTATGGGTCAATTAAACTGACTTTTGCAGAGCAAGGGATTGTGGGTTAGAAGTGTCAATAAGAAACAGGTGGCATCGCTATGCCAACATGCCCTAGTCTGCGTTGTTGTCTCACTTACCGCCCACACACACACTTCTGTGTGTGTGTGTGTGCGCCATGTATTTGTCTTTTATCTGATATTCTGATATTCTGACTATATACAGTGCATTCGGAATGTATTCAGACCCCATTGACTTTTTCCACATTATGATACGTTACAGCCTTACTCTAAAATGGATTAAATGTTAAAAAATCCTCAGCAATCTACACACATTACCCCATAATGACGAAGCGAAAACAGGTTTATAGAAATGTTTGCAAATGTATTAAAAATAAAAAAACTGAAATACCTTATTTACATAAGTATTCAGAC